TGGGATCAGAAAGGTGTGATCTATTATGAGCTGCTAAAACCTGGCGAAACCGTTAATACTGAATGCTACCGACAACAAATGATCAATTTGAATCAAGCTTTGCGTGAAAAACGACCGGAATATCAAAAAAGGCAATACAAAGTGATTTTGCTTCATGATAATGCACCATCACACACAGCAAAACTGGTCAAGGAAACGATTGAGGCGTTTGGTTGGGAAATACTTTCGTATGCGGCTTACTCACCAGACTTGGCTCCGTCCGATTACTACTTATTTGCATCGATGGGACACGCACTTGCTCAGCAGCGCTTCACTTCTTACGAAGATGTACGAAAATGGCTAGATGACTGATTTGGCTCAAAGGAGCAACAATTTTTTTGGCGTGGCATCCACAAATTGTCAGACAGGTGGGAAAAATGTATAGCTAGCGATGAGCAATACTTCGAATAAAATATTTTTTATCATTTTCATGCAATAAACGTGTATTTTCTATAAAAAAATTCCGGTTTCATATTTACATACCTGGTATTTTACGACTGTCCATGCGAAGCGAGTTTCACCCCACCTCTCCCTGCCAAGGGGTATCTGACTTTCCACGCGAAGCGAATTCCATCCCAAGTCGCTTCGCATGGAAAACCATTATATAAGCAATGAAAGGTATATAGTAGTTTTTATATTATATAAAACGTTATTTTTTCAAACTTTTTTTGTTAATAACTTTTTAACGGATAACAAACGACGGCTAAAATCTGTTGGAGGTCACTCAGAGTCGTGACCTTGACAACATATGTCAAGATCATCGAAGCTGTCTCTCCTAAAGTGAATAATTACCTATTAGGGGACACCTCTTCGACGACCTTGACATATGTTGGTAAATGTTCAGAAGTGGTGCTCCCCAAAAACCGCGGTTTTTTTATCAGTAATGAACAAAACTAATTATAAAAAGACATGTATATCATATTTTAAGAGGGAGCTTGTGATTTTTATGGGAAAAAAATTCTATTTCAGAAACGAATAAGACAGCTTTATCTTTTATTTAAATATGATGTAAAATCTTTTAGCGACTAGACGCTTCAAATGTTTATAAATATAAAGATCCTTCTAGTACGCAAATAAGATTCACCCTCCTCTCCCTCTCTGCCTAGGGGAGCACGACTTTCCACACGAAGCGAGTTCCATTCCACCTCTCTCTTCTGTCAAGGGGCGTACGACTTTCCACGCAAAGCGAGGCTTTCCACTGCACCCCCCCCCCCCCCCATAGAAGAAAATCAGTGAGGTGAAACTCGTTTTGCGTGAAGGCAAATGCCCCTAGGCAGGAAGGATATAGAGTAGTTTTTAACCTTTTTAAAAAAGGTAAAAAGAAGCGTTAAGAATATATGTGCTTCTCGAATAAAACCTAAGTGATATGTTACGTATCTTTTTATTATTCCAACCCAAGTAATAATAGTTTTAATTCCTCTTGAAAGATTCTTATTGAAAGGCTTCCAATCCAAGTAATTTTCCACAATCCAAGGCTTTAATTCTCTGTCAAAAATTATTTCTCTTCGAAAAAAATTATTGTACCATATTAAAAATTAAAACCCAAATATTACAGTCTTAACTAATTAAATTAAATTCTACCAAATTAAAAAGTAAAACCCAAGTGGTACTATCTTTGTTATTTACTTAATTCAAATGATATGTATCATTCGTATAAAAGATTTGATCGATATCGATAACTGACGCCAAGTTAAATTCCATACCAATCAAACCAATTTAAATAAAGAATATAATCTATGTAGCACTATCTTTAACTTTTGTACAATAAAAACTAAGTATATATCTTTGTATTTTTATTAAAGGATCTTCTTATTCCGATCCAAATGGCTTTAATTCTTCTTATATGAAATTTTCATATCGCAATTCAAAGACATTTTCTCTTTCAACCAAAGTAGTAATGTTATTTAGTTCTTCTTCAAAACATTATTCAAAACGTTATGACAAATTTGCGTTATCTTGTCCATTCAAGTATTATCATCACAAAAAATTAGAGAAGTAAACACTTGGCGCTGCTAGATCAGATAAGAAAAACTATAAAAACGATTAAAAAATTTTAATAATAGTTAATAAAAATAAATAATAAAAGATAATTATAATTTTAATGTAGTAATGAACTTAATCTGTGTGAATGTTACACCGAATACAAATAAAGTTTACTATTCTTTTTTCTTTTTCGTAACGCATGTTTTACAAATCCAAGTTTATTTATCTTAGATTTAAACCTAATAGCTTGCACAATTTTCGTAATTTATACGACTGTATAATCCAATTGCATATATACATACGCTGGTTACTACTTTTACTCTCATATTACTTTTACTTTCATGGGAATATTTCTTATTTTATCCGAATACCTCTTATTCCGAAAAGTTACAGATCCGGATTTTACGTCGCTGTACGGGAAAGCCCAAGCGATTAGAACGTTTATAAATGAAATATTGCCAAGTATTGTTAATGTATTGCTATGGATTGCTATGTATTGCTAGCATATTGTTAGTATTGACAGTGCTGCTAGTATTGGCTGTTTTATTACTGTATTGCCGCAATATATTTCTGAAGAAATGTACACTGATTCCCAGTGGTTGACCCCTCGTTATGCATGTTTATATATATTTATATATATTCATGTGTGAAAAATTTTTTACTGGATATTAATGCCATAATTAATTTTTAATTTAATTTTTAACCAAAATACAGGTGCTAATATATTTAATTTATAACTAATAATCTTAGTATTACTTATGTATTATAATTGTAATTACGTTAATAATTTCATAATTAATATGACACTTGGTATTTACCGCACTGGTAATATCCTTTTACTTATTCCATATTGGTTATTGGCACTGTCATTGTTCATTTAATTTTTTATTCAATTTAATTTAAGACAGAAATTATGGTAAATGTACAGGAGACTCCATCTTAAAATGGCATAAAAATACACTGAATCAATATGTTTTCATGTAAAAATAAAGCTTTGACAAGAAAAAAGTGTCGCTCTACTCCACGAACCCAGTTATTAAGCATTAAAGTTGACGACTATTCAGATTAGGTGAACATTAATATTTCCATTGACACTTTTGCATTATACCATTTACATTTAATGTTTCAATATATTTTATATATTTTATTAAAGGCTTTAATACTTATACGTAACATAATATGTTTCAACACAAAAGTGCTACTTCAAAAATACAAAAATTCAGTGCTTTAAAAACACAAAAGTACTGCTTCAAGAACACAAAAAATCAGTGCTTTAAAAACACAAAAGTACCGTTTCAAAAACAAAAATTCACTGCTTTAAATACACAAATTCTTTGCATTAACAGTGAATTTGTGTATTTAAAGCAGTGAATTTTTGTTTTTGAAACAGTACTTTTGTTCTTAAAGCACTGATTTTTTGTGTTTTTGAAACAGTACTTTTGTGTTTTTAAAACACTGAATTTTTGTGTTTTTGAAGCAGTACTTTTGTGTTTTTAAAGCACTGAATTTTTGTGTTTTTAAAGCAGTACTTTTGTGTTTTTAAAGCACTGAATTTTTGTGTTTTTGAAGCAGTACTTTTGTGTTGAAACATATTAAGTTACACATAAATATTAAAGCCTTTAATAAAATATATTAAAACATTAAATGTAAATGGTATAGCAAAAGTGTCAATGGAAATATAAATGTTCACCTAACCCGAACCCTAGTCATCAACTTTAACGCTTAATAACTCAGTTCGCAGAGCAGAACGATACCTTTTTCTCGTCGAAGCTTTATTTTTACGCGAAAACGTATCGATTCAATGTATTTTTATGTCATTTTTTGAGGTGGACGAGGTCTCTTGTACATTTACCAAAGATATATTATGGTATAAAATACATCAGAGAATATACCTAATTCAACTGTGCTTACGTCTGACCAGTTTTCATGATCCTCATCTGGGCCACTATGTGGAGACTCTGCAAAATAATTTTATTTCAACATTACATATTTGAACACAATATCATTTTCATATCTATAACATGTATCATAGATTATAAGTATAATCTAAAAAATCGACAGCAAATTACTGTAAAGAATTCAACTGTGGGTACAGCTGAGTTAGCTTTGTACTCGCTAACACTTACATATTATTACATGCTAATATTACGCATTTAAAACTGCTAGTTATATATATATATATATATATATAGCATGTAATCTCATTTCATGTTTTATAGGATTTATAGTACATGCACATCAAATAAGTCAATCCTAAAAACATACCTACTATAGGTATATCACCGTAATCACTTTGTTCAGTGTCATAATCCTCATCAATATCCATTATTACTTATCAAATTATGATGTAGATGAAATCTGTTTGATTCGTTCGTAAGCAAACTCTAAACTAATATCCCTCCATATGCATTATCTTCTGACGTCAAAGCAAGATTGAACGAGATTGTGACAGGCGATGAAAGATGATGTGGGGCTGCGTTCGGAAATATCATCCGGGTGCCCCCGTGTATCATCTTATCCTTATTTAACAGTGGATGAACAACAAGGATAAAACAGTGCATTAGGGCACTCGGATGGTGTTTCCGAACGCAGCTTGGGATGATGGGGCGAGTTATTTGGGCATGCGCAGGTACGGTTCCGTAAACTGCTCGATACTTTAAAGCCTGTCACACATGAAATGCATAACCTCGGATCTACAATAGGGTTTTAAGCCTTATGCCCGTATTCATAGTCAGACCTTGTACTTAAGGCTTCCTTAAATTTATCTTTAGCTGCTCAGTAGCCAATGAAATAATTCGTAGAGCATCTAAAGACAAATTTAAGGAAACCTTAAATATAAGGCCCGACTATGAATACGGATCTTAGGCTGTTTCCCCATGGAGAAAGAAACAGCTGAACGGAATATTAATAGAAAAGAGATAGGATGAGGATAACTCTTTTCTATTAATGGGCGTGTTCAAGTTGACAAAGCGATTAGCCTGCTCGCCGAGCAAATGAACATAATTGGTTATTACTTATAGATCCAACCAATCATATTCAATCGCTTAAGCACTCGATAAGCATGCCTAGCCGCTTTGCAGTCTTGAACTCGCCCAATATTCCGTTCTGATTCCGTTCCACTGTTTCTTTCTCCATGGGGACTTAGCCTTAAGCCATAAGAAATCAACGAATCATAGTCGATTATTCTCCTCGAATTCGACTGTAATTGGTCAATTTCTTATGACTTAAGGCTTAAAACACCTATTATAGATCCGGACTTACACGCTTCCATTCTACAATAAGCCATTAGTCATAAATCAGAAGTTAGAAGCTGGAAATTGACCAATCGCAGTCGTCAATTTCCAGCTTCTAACTTTTGATTTATGACTAATGGCTTATTGTAGAGTGGCCATTAGTTCGGATCTACAATAAGTGTTTTAAGCCATAAGCCGTAAGAAATTGACCAATTACAGTCTAATCCGAAGGGAATAATCGACTGTGATTCGCCCATTTCTTATGGCTTAAGACTTAAAACTTTATTGTAGATCCGGGGTTACAGTCGAATTCGAGGAGGATAATCGACTATGATTCGTCCATTTCTTATGGCTTAAGATTTAAAATCCTATTGTAGATCCAGGATAATTGGTCAATTATTGTTTTTTTTAATTTTTTTCCTTTTTTACATTTATTCCGCTCAAATAATTTATGGATACTCAGGATATTAGATAGCTTGTGATTAATGTTATTTGCAATTTTTAGATAATACTTTTTTTTTAATAGACTATGGTTACATGTTATTTATTACTTTTATTATTACAGTACTTCTACATCTTTTGTTTAGCTTTTTAAATAATTAATAATAATTATAATAATAAAATAAAATGTGAAAAAATTCTTTTTCTTACATACTTGCATCTTCAGGACATTTTATCATAATAATAAGAATTTAAAGTCTTTTTCAATACAGTGATAATGAAAATATATTAAAATTAAATAATAAAAAAGACATAAAACTTAACGCACCAAAATAAATTTTTTCATCGGGCTCATTTAATATTTTTAATTTCTGTTTTTTTCTGTGGTTGACATATCCATTGGCTGTGAATCGGGTTGTCTCGATTGGAGATCCTGATGTTTGTCTTTCTCTTTTTCAGCAGGTATTTCCTTCTCTCCGTTCTTTCTGTCGACTGGGGTTGGCTTAGTCTCTTTTTGTTCCTGCAAATAATTCTTTTTACATCTAATTCTTATACTTGGGTTGAAATTTGCGTTTGGTCGCAAGGTTAGTGCAGGTTATATCTGGGAGTTACCCTGGGGTGCTGTCCCATGGGCACGGAAAACGGAATCGGAACACGGAATCGGAAAGGTGAAGTGGTAGGGGCAACCAATCATCATCGTTCCGTTCCGATTTTAAGTAGCCTGGCTCCCCATGGGGCATATTTTTCGGAAACGGAAATTTTTTGTACACTGTCGGTCACTAGCAATTAGGTTAAGAGTACTGAAAAAGTAGAGAATGTCATCTGTAAGTATTGTAATTATATGTTTGCTAAGTTATTTTATATTAGATTATGGTGATAGCCTTGCATACATTTCTAACCTAACATTATATGTACAATATAATTATTTTGATTAATTTATTTAATATCATTTATTTATTATTAGAAAGTAAAATGTGGCTACTGTGGCTGGATACTGAACATGGACAATATTTTTCAACATTCTTGTTTCAGTACTTATGACGAAGCACACAATGTTTTAAGCATAAATGAGACAGGAAAAGTTGTCATGACAAGTATAAAAAATTTCTCATATAGTATTTTTAAAATGTAAACTAAACAGTATGAAATTTTTGTTACTATCAATAATGTAACTATCATAAATGATATTAAATAAATTAATCAAAATAATTATATTGTACATATAATGTTAGGTTAGAAATGTATGCAAGGCTATCACCATAATCTAATATAAAATAACTTAGCAAACATATAATTACAATACTTACAGATGACATTCTCTACTTTTTCAGTACTCTTAACCTAATTGCTAGTGACCGACAGTGTACAAAAAATTTCCGTTTCCGAAAAATATGCCCCATGGGGAGCCAGGCTACTTAAAATCGGAACGGAACGATGATGATTGGTTGCCCCTACCACTTCACCTTTCCGATTCCGTGTTCCGATTCCGTGCCCATGGGACAGCACCCTTACACTGAGGATCCGCAACGTTGTACACTCTGTATATAATACCGAAGTATTCATTCGGGAAGCAACGATTCATATATCTGATTACGCACTCGGTGTGTGCTTTTTTGTAATAAAAATTGCAGTAAAATCAATTAATAAAAAATTAATAACCTAACCCATCCCATCCTATGCGATACATGAGTGGGCGCGCCTGGTTGCGTATATGTGTACGTATGTAAGTGATTTACCGTAACTCTCCCGTTTTCATCATATCCTTATACTGCTCTGAAGTTGTAGAAGCTGTAGATTCATGAGAAATTCTATAAGAGACGGACATTCGATCATTCTCAGAGCATGCTACGTCAATCGCAGTACACTTGAGATTGTTCTGAAATTTTCACAATTATACTTTTACGATAATCTCAGCTCATTCTCAGTATCTCAATGTGCTATTATTTGTAAAATAACTTATCTATTATAAATAATCTCTTTAATTATTATATTTCTTAAGAAATATTGTAATAACTAAGTAAGAAATATATTATTAAAGATTATTTATAACAGATGTTTTTCTACATTACTAATATTACAATAAATAAATTACATATTAATTCCTAATTTCTTGCTCAGCAAGCTCTCAGTGAGCGATCGTCGTTTCTGGATGCACCCATTGAAATAAAAATGGAAATGAACTTTTTCCAAAGAATAAATAACATATTTCGGCTTGTGCTACATACATATATATATAAAATAAGTATATGTATGCCACATAAGCCTAAATATAGGTTTATTTATTCATATTTATTAAAAAATTCCGTTTTCTTTATATGCACACATCACTATACTTGCACATACAATTATTTTTGAAATTAATTTTAAAAAATACATAAACAAAGGTATATTAGGCTTACATTGTGCATTGTGTATATTTATATTTTATATTTTGTGTAACATAAACATATTCAATATAAAACTATGTACTTATCACTTATTATTATTAGACATTGAATTATTATACATACATTAGACTAATTTTGAAACTTGCATATTTATATAAGTCAAAATATATATTTTTATTTTATTTTGTGTATTTTTATGATTCGAAAGAACTAGGTATATATATATATATATATAATTATTATTTATTTAATTTATTACACATTTATTATAAGAAATTAATCATCAAATTATTATTGTAAATATAATAAGTTTACATAAAAACGTTGCAGTACGTATAAGTGTAAAAACAATGCAAAACAAGAAGAGAAACAAAAAGAAAAGATATGGACCCGGAGACTATGTACTATATAATAGGAACAAAAAATTTAAAACTACTAAACTGTAGATATATACTAACAATAAGATATATAAACTGATCAACATATAGTAATGAATAAATATAACTTTAAATATTTCTAAACATCTTTAGATCGACACATTTTTTCCTATAACTAAAAAGTCATCACTGCTAAAACGTATAATACTGATATATAAATGAACTATAAGTTTTCTTTTTGCTGATCATCTTGAACATCTGTAGTCTTCTTTTCTTGTTTGGATCTAAAAGTATAATTGACAATTTAAATCAGTATTATACAAGCATGTGTGAGCGCACACATTCAGTGTAGATATAAATGTTGAACTTACATTTCTGTCTTGTATTTAAGCGGTGCTTGGATAAGCCACTTATTAATGGTTTCTTCTATTTTTTGTAGTTATCTTCTTTGCATCTATCTTTTGACTTCTTACAACAGCTTAATATGAAAAAAGAATATGAAAATATTTATCATCGTATTTTGCTATTATTTGTATTAAATATATATATATAATATATATATATATAATATAATATTAAATATATATATTATATAATTATTTATATATATTAAATATATACAATTATATTAAATATATGGATGATTAACAAGATACCTTTAATCAATGTCGTAATATTTAAACAGTTAAATGCTTTTTGTTCACGGCCAGCCCAACTAAACTGTACTGCAACTTTATTTGCTATGAGTGCAAACAGTATGTTGCGTGTTAATTGATTCACGTCGTTTCCTCCAATAGTATTGCACAGAGCTTCTTCCTAAAAATGAACGATAAGGATATTATTATAAATCACGTCGTTCTTTTAAATTCAATATTACATGAAATATATATTTTTAAAAAGTCTAATTTCCTTATAAATATAGTATATTAAATAATTATAATTGCAGGTTGACAATGTAAACAATTTGTACAAACAATAAACAAAATGTAGTCTTACTGCACGTTGGAAAAAATCTTCGTCCTTCAAGGCCATTTCAAATTCTTCATAAGAATTGTAGCTGACATCCGAGTCATAAACATCATCATTGTTATCTTCAAAAGCTCCAGGGTCCAATTGTTCATCTTGGATATCAAAGGAATTTGTAGTAGTATTTTCCGCAGATATCACTTCTTCTGACACATTTGTTTCGGGTTCATTTATTTCTTTAGCACTATAAACTGTCTCACTAATATTTGAGTTATTAATAAAATTTAATCCATCATTATCATCTATGTGTACGTTTACACCGTGCGCTCAGTCCGCAACCTATACCAAGAAGACTAGAACCAGGAGAGTCAACTCGGCGTAAAAGCGGTAGTGGGGGTGAGGCAAGAAGTGGAAACGAACGACACCCCCCACTCTTGCGCTTCATCCTCTCTGTTGCTCTACATAGTCGGTTTCAATTCGTGACTGCGCATGTCAACGTACCTTGTTTCTGTTTGATTGAATTTTGAACTAAACATAAACCGTAAAAATTTAATCCGATGTGATTTACGATGCCCAAGCGAGTGTGCTGTGTTCGAAATTGTGACTTCAATCCTGGAGATAAAGAAAATCGAAAAACAATATTCCAATTTTGTGAGGTACTCAGTGAACTACTGAGCATCGTCCCCAAAAGGGTGGGGACGATGCGCAGTGAGCTACTGAGCATCGTCCTCAACAGGGGTTGGGGGTAAGCAGCGGGTGACGCTTTTTGACTCACCCCCACCACGCGAGTTGACTCTCCTGGTTCTAGTCTTCTTGACCTATACAATAGGTGTCTGTTTAACCTAGAGGATAAACAAGGCTGCGGCCTATACAATAGATGTCCTTGTTTATCCTGCAGGTTAAACAAAGCTATGTTTACACCGTACGTTTAGTCCGCGGCCTACACCCCAAATTCGACCTTATTTAAGTCACACTGGCTACGTTTACACCGTGCGCTTAGTTCGCGACCTAAA